TTTAGCGATAAACACTTAATTTGATACATTTTTATACATGGGTTGATAGACCTGGGAAGGAGACATATGGCGGTAGACCTCACGCTATAGTAGCACCGTTTTGAGTTCCCTCAGTTCCCTTTGAATTGTAATAAATAAACTAATACTTGGTGACGTAACAAACATTTTCCATATTTATTTCCTTTTTCTGGCTAGCTACCTATTTATATCTCTCCTTTTTTTGCATGATTTATCTTAAATTTGAAGGGCGATGACAGATTTAGCTTGGTATAATTGTATATTTATACAAGTTAATTAGACATATTTAAGGTATTCAATTTGTTATATTTTTCATAAGCTATCTAATAATTATTCATTATTTCTATTGATAAAATATTTTTCATTATACTATTCTGCAAATGTATAATTTTATTTGTATATTAAATACAGATAGGCCCGCAAATATATGTATCATAACGAATTGCAGATTCACACAAAAAAGTATATACCAATTTACATAGAACAGAAGGAGCATTAAGTAGAAGTTTGTAAATTTTATATGCATAACATCTAAGTATAATATATATGTATTCTACAGACGATATTCGCCCAAAATAGAATCGATAAACATTCCTAAGTATCTGAATTTACCTAAATATTCAATCACTGAACAAAGTACATGAATGTATGAAATTCATTGTATTATTAAAAAAATATTTTAATCAAACAAGATGTCGTTAAAATTTGATTTTTTTATACAGAGTATGAATGCACATCCATTGTGTCTTGTCACTATTCAACTAAATACTTTATAAGTTTAACCATTTTAAGATTTTATTAAATTCGCTTTGTATATGATACGTATATATAGGCATATATCGTTTATCAAGTCTCGAGGTTTTAAGCCTACTTTCTTTTGTTTTATAATTAGGGAGCTTCGATGTGTAAGGAATATTATACATGCGAACCTGATAGGAAGTTTCATCTTGTGTGACTTCACTTGGATTTTGGCAGCATCTATACATACGTCACCAAATACTTCTGGTCCGGCAGCAAAGGTAGTAGTATCTCTTCATATTATACCAAATACTTCTATTCCGGCAGTCATGGTAATAGTATTCCTTCATATTACACTAAATACTTCTAGTCCGACAGCAAAGGTAGTAGTATCTCTTCATATTACACTAAATAATACTTCTAGTCCGACAGCAAAGGTAGTGGTATCTCTTCATATTACACTAAATAATACTTCTAGTCCGACAGCAAAGGTAGTAGTACCTCTTCATATTACAATAAATACTTCTAGTCCGACAGCAAAGGTAGTGGTATCTCTTCATATTACACTAAATAATACTTCTAGTCCGACAGCAAAGGTAGTAGTATCTCTTCATATTACACTAAATACTTTGAGTACAGTAGCAAAGATAGTAGTAACTCTTCATATTATCCCAGACACTTCTAGTAGGGCAGCAAAAGATAGTAATATCCTTTCATACTATATCAAATCCTTCTGATCCGGTAGAAATTATTATAATTCTTCTATACATTCACTTACAAATTCTTATAATTACTCATACTACATCAAATCCTTCTGATCCGGTAGAAAGGTAGAAATTACTATAATTCTTCTATACATTCACTTACAAGTTCTTATAATTACTAATGTAATCTTCTCTCGTTGATCCTGTGATCATTTGGCCCGCTCCGGGATCAAAAAGACTAGCTTACTGGTTCGCCAGTCCTTTTGAATGATGAGTAAAAAATTAATTCAACTAAAATAAAGATAAATAAGTAATATCAAGAATAAACGATTTGGTGTTAAAATATATGAATAATTTGATGTTTATAAAAATCATAAACTTACTTCTGATGTGTAACGGCTTACATAAGTCATGACAGTTTACTAACTTAATCTAATTCACACCACATCAGTTATTGTTCAAGCAGCTGATAATCAAGACACACGGTAGTCAGTTTTATCCATTATCATACCCCAAGTTGAACAAAAAACGCGGCCTGAATAATTAATGAATAAATATTTGCCGTAAAATTCTTATCAATGCCATAAATGTAGCAAGTCTGCTAGTGCAGTAAAAAACTATTGAGTAAAAAAGTATTGAGGGAATCCTCAATAACTGTGGCATTTGAAATTCTTTTAGGCAGAATTAAAGTAAATTAATCTATGAAATATTTTTAATTTTAATTTTTATCAGCTATAATTTTATGCGCCAGCAATACCAAGCGTGGGGCGCACGGATACCCGATTCGATTTTATTACTCATCAGGATCTTTACCAGCCTACCCTCAAATTGAAATTATTTTAGTCATGATCAGAGTAACTAAATCCATTAGACCTTGAGCGTCAAATGCATCAATCGAAAGGATTTGACCTTCTGAGGCCAAAACTGTAATTATATCTCAAATCGGTCAAGAGATGACGGAACTATGAGCTAAAGGTTTGTACCTGAAAAACAAACAAACTCGGAGACATTCTATGAGCCGTTATGCCGCAGCTAAAAGAAAAGTAGGAGAACATTTTTCTCCTCTAATTCCATCCCTTGATCTTCTATAGGACTTGAACGCGTTATGGGAACGAAGCTTCGTTCACTGATTGTCAGCCCATTGAAAAATATTTTATTTAGTCTCTATTTATTTACTGTATCTTTCAAAGATCTTTAAAAATACGTTATTGTACATTCTTAGATATTTTTCTACTCAGGCCTCGTGTGTCCTCGTCATATTTTTGACATATTTGATGGGTACCAACTTTTTCTGGATGTTTGTTGAAGGCCTTTACCTGTTTATCTTGGTTGTGAAGACGTTCTCCACTAAAAGAATGAAATTTTACGTTTATGTCATCATTGGATGGGGTGAGTAGTTTTCAACTAGTTATATCCATCATCAGAAATTAGTGCATAAATAACGTCAATTGTTACCAATCTTCTGGTGATTACCTGCCGAGTCTACCATAAATTCATTTGAAATTCCACTTACAAAAATCAGCCGTTACTGTATTAATAATTTTGGCCGAAGTTACCTGAGTACTCTAGCATTCTAGAGAAAAATCTATTCCAAAGAAGCAGATTAATGTTAAATTCGATGACGAGGAACCCACTTTGAGACTAA